TCTCAGACTTTCACTTGCTCCTCTTAGATTTATTTAAATTAAAATAAAACTTCTTGTGTTTTAATGAGTAACATTTTAAGTGATGTTAGGACATCACAAACAAACATATAAAGGAAAAATATGAAGAAAATTTACAACTTTTAAGTAAACTTGTAAAAAAGTTCCATTATTCAGAAATTCTGATATCCTACATGTTTCGAATGTCACCATATGAAACATCTGGAAGCACTGATAGCACAGGCAACGCGAACAGTAATATTAACAAATAAAATAATGGCAGCTTGCGCTGGGGAGATAGCTTGGTGTTCTAAGTGCCTGCCTGGCAAGTGCAAGGACCTGCGTTCAGTCCCTGGTTCCACATGCCATGCTGGCCCTGGAAACCTGGTGGGCCATGCTGGCCCCGAAACCAGGCATGGTGGCACATGGCTGCAATCCCAGTGCTAGGGAGGCTGAGACAGGGGGATCACTTCAAGTCTGAACTGTGTATTGAGACCGTGTACTAAGAAAATAAATAAGATTTAAAACATAATAATGGCAACTTCCTTCACAGAATCCTCCCTACTGGGAAGGCATTTATGCTCACTATTCATTTAATCTTTACAAGCCTCACTTATGGAAAGCACCTTCCACTTAAGTGTGGTTCAAGGGCCGGCCAGATAGCTCAGAGCGCCTGCTTAGGTAGAGCACAGCACAGCGGCACCGGCCAGGGTTTCAGTGCAGGCAACAAAAGCCATGCTGGCCCCACCCCGGGGCAGGCTGAGTGGCAACTGAAAGTGGGCGTGGTGGTGCATCTGTAATCCCAGCACTTGGGAGACTGAAAGCAGGAGGATCACGAGTCCAATCTACGTAGTGAGACCCTGTAGACCCTGTACTAAATGCAAAACAAAACAAAAAAAACAAAACAGAACGGAACAAAACAAGTGCGGTTCAAATGCAGGCCCATGTGGTCAGTGCCCTACAAGTGCCCACGGGTCGGCTGCAGGCACTGCTGCTGAAGCATGGGGCACTGTCATTTTCTCACAGGGAGAACTTTTGCAGCATAAAGATGGACCTCTTCAGCTTTGTTCTATTTAGTTACCTAAAAAGCTACCTTTTCAAAAAACCCAAGTTCGTAACAGCTACCGTCTCCCAAGCCCTGGCCAGGCTAGGAACTCCATCGGTGGTGTTTCACTTCTCCCTGTGACTCTGAGGGTGAAGGACAGGTTTGCCAGCGGAGGACACTCAGCTCTCAGAGGTGAGGGTTCTGTCCCTGAGCGTCAGCGCAGGGCCCTGTGTCACACAGCTGCTCCTGGCTGAGGTGGACACCTGGAGCCTCTGCCCATCTTAGAAGAGAACAAGGGAGCTGCGTGATTCTATTTTAATCACGGACCTCTGACTCTGCATTTTAACGGGCAAACTATTTTTATAGACAATAAATATAAGTTAGGACACAGTACAAGACTGATACCCTCAAAATAAAAATAAATCAGTTTCTATCAATATCAGACTTAAACACATAATATTTTAAAGAAATGACTGCCAAGCATTCACAAATATAAACTACATAACATTTAGCTTTATTGTCTTTAGCAAAGGGAAACACAAGAGAATGGTATCCATCAATTCTTATAAAATGCAATAATTTCTAAAAATATAATCAGTGATAATTCATTTTAAAATATGGGCACAAAAATGTCAAATAACAAGCTAGGCATAATGGTGCCTGTCCGGAAACCCAGCACTCTGGAGGCTGAAAGAATTGTGATTTTGAGCCCAGCCTGAGCAAGTTATCAAGAACCTGCCTCAAGAAAGGGGGCGCTGCGGATGTCAGTTAGTGTGAAGGCTCAGAATTCCAGTCTTAGAAATGAGAACAGAAAAAAAAAAAAGCCTTTAGGGGCCGGGGCTATAGCTCAGTAGAATAAGTTCTTGCCTGGCAAGCACAAGGGCCTGAGTTCAATCCCCAGTTCTGCCAAAGGAAAAAAAAATTTTTTTTAGTAATCCAAGTGCATATTTTATGGTATATTTTCAAAGAACCTATGTACATCTTG